CCCCCTACTGGCTGGCCCGGGGTGAGGCTGTCCCATGGCCGGCGTTCGTCCAGGGCTAAGTGGCGCATGGAGAACGGCTGCTCCAGCCGCCAGGGCCAAGTGCCATGTAAAGGGCAGCAGCCTCAGCCACCGGGGCCAACCGCCACATGATGGCAGCTGCCCCAACACTGTGCGATGGGCAGCTGCCCCGGCCCCAGGACCAAAACACCTCATGATGGGCAGCTGCCCCTGCAACCCTGTTCTCCTCCTTCCCTGCCCGGCAGGATCCTGCCCCTGACCTCCAGATGCTCCCAGCCAACGTGCACACACATTATTATTCATTATTAAGTGTATGAATTTTAGTATGTTTTTTTAAGGTGGAAAGCGAATACTTTGGGGGGGAATAATAATTTTAAAAACCTTTTACAATGGCATGTGTTGTGTGCATACAAATGCAATGTAAAGTAACATGGGACCTCTCAAAATTACCACAATAAATAAGCAGATAAATTAATTGCTATAATGAATATGTGAATATTTCAGTTCCGGTCCACCAACAGTTTTTGAATGAGTTTGCCAAGAAAGGTTGGGCACCACTCTATTACCGTGTATCTTCCTGTTTGATCCTGTCAAGGGTTGGATTTATTGTGGGTACCTTTTTTCTTTCTTCAGGTGTTTTCCTGCCTCGGTGCAATGAGGAAGGATATTACAAAGCAACCCAATGTCATGGAAGCACAGGGCAATGCTGGTGTGTTGATAAATATGGCAATGAGATAGCCGGCTCAAGAAAACAAGGGACCATTAGTTGTGGTGAGTGATAACATGCTTGCCTAATACAACGCAAAAAATAACATTGTTGTAAACCCAGTAATTGCTGTAAGACCAACCATGATAACGAAAGATGACAATGCAGGAAACATAATTAGCAGAATCCCAAATGGTCCCATGTGTTCCAGTTCACAATGTAAAAGTGTCTGTGTGGCATACACGCATCTTTATCTTGGAGTGTGTGTATGTGGGTATGAAATTGGAAATAACCACTGATAAGAAAATAGTTTTTCTACCAGTATGGAAAATGCAGTAGTTGCTATTAAAATAAAAGCTATGAGGTTGTTATGCCTGTTTATTAAATCCATTGTTCCTTATACAGTAGAAAACACATTTACAGATGCTTTATAAATCAGGGCCTCCCTGAGAGGAGAAGGTTTAACTATGCAAAGTTTTATAAATTAACAGCCAAGACCTATAAAAGTGCTGATACAACAGTATTATTACACTGACATGTACAATTACTGCACAGCTCTATAGAAGCAGGCAAACAACATGTAAGTGGAATTTCTTCCATGTGACTCAGTCAGGGCTGGCCTTACCGTGAGGCGAACTGAGGCAGCCACCTCAGGTGCCAGACTGTGGGGGGCGCCACTAGGACCCCGAGATTTGAAACCTTTCAAAGTTTTGGCCTAAGCAAGGGTGCATAGGGGAGTCATTTGAGCTCCCCCCCCTTCCCGATGCCAAAATGTTGTGGGCCGACCCTGGACTCAGTGTAACAATAGCTCCAGTTGCTCTACTTCCAGCAAGAATAGACGAGGCCAAGCTTTACTGTTCGTGATTACATCCTAAATTGCTCTTGGTCAGGGATGGGCAATAAAAAATGGCAGCTCGCAGGGTTAGTCCCTGGCAGGCTGCTGCTGCTATGTTTACCTGTACTTCTGCAGGTATCACAGGATCGCAGCTCTGGTTTGTTGCAAATCACCACTCGTGGCCAATGTAAGTGGCAGGAAGCATCGTGGACTGGGACACCACTTCCCACCACTCACATTGGGATCGAGAGCTGCTATCCTCTGATACCTGAAGAGGCACAGGTAAACATGGAGGTGGGGCCCACCAGGGACTAACCCTGCATACCGGATCCAGCCCGTAGGCTGGAATTCATCCACTCTTGCTCTAGGTGCTTCTGCAGAAGTTTGTGCACTTATATGTACATGAAATCAAGCAATTACAACATATGCATAGCATCTGAAAACCATTTGTGTGTGTGCTTACCAAAGATGTGCACACAGATTCCTATGGTTCTGCCTTTGTCCTCACCCCAGCCAAATATGCATCCAATATACGCAGATAGCATGTGTGTGCACGAGGAAGCAGATCAGTCTAATATCCCAACTGTTGGGGGGGTGTCTAATCCCAACACATATATGGGCAGCAATAGTACAGTCCCATCGCCACTGTGTGTCTGTTTGAATCGGTTGCCCTGAAAGGCTATTTCAGTCTATATGCACATTCAGTTCTTTGGTATTCTACTGAGACTGGCCACCAAGAACATAGTAGTGTTGGTTGTGGTGGATTTTGTGATGTAGGCTAGGACTGATTGGCACTTTTGACAAAAGGCATTTTTTGTAGAAAATCACGGATTCATAATCATGAGCCCCAAAGCTTTTGGCTGGAAAGTTCAGTTTTGCTAATTTCCTGACTCAAAAAAAAAATCTTTGAGCAGAGGAGGGAGTATTTCAATTTTCAATATTCTGCTTCAATATTTTCTAAATGACAAATTCTTGTTTTCTGATTCAAAGCAACTTTTTATTAAAAAAAAATTGGAATACAAAAATTAATGTTCAAAACTGAAACATGATGTTCTCAAATTATTGAAACAAAATGTTTCAGTTGAACCAAACCAAATGTTGAGGTGAATTTTCAGTTTGCGAAGGATGGACTTTACCTAAACCAAACTGGAACCAGATTGCTGGCACTTAACATTAAAAAGATTATAAACCCCCAGCTGTTAATGAGCCCCGCCCACTGAGGTACCCAATAAGGTGCACCCACACACAAAATTCTCTTCCCGCCCACTTCCCCACACAGCAGCAGGGTGAGTGGCGCAGCTGGCAGCCGGGTTTGCTCAGCTGGAGCTGGGGCTGTGTGATAAAGTATGGATAAGATCAGATGAGAAACGATCAAATGAAAAAGAGTCTAACACATCAGGAAATGGGAGACAGATAAATAGTGACAATTTTATAGTACGTAAAGGGCAGCAGCCTCAGCCACCGGGGCCAACCGCCACATGATGGCAGCTGCCCCAACACTGTGCGATGGGCAGCTGCCCCGGCCCCAGGACCAAAACACCTCATGATGGGCAGCTGCCCCTGCAACCCTGTTCTCCTCCTTCCCTGCCCGGCAGGATCCTGCCCCTGACCTCCAGAAAATATATCGGAAGGACGGAACAGGTCATGCTGGTGAGGGAGTGCTACAATACATGAAAGAAAGTGTAGAATCAATTGAAGCACATTATTATTCATTATTAAGTGTATGAATTTTAGTATGTTTTTTTAAGGTGGAAAGCGAATACTTTGGGGGGGAATAATAATTTTAAAAACCTTTTACAATGGCATGTGTTGTGTGCATACAAATGCAATGTAAAGTAACATGGGACCTCTCAAAATTACCACAATAAATAAGCAGATAAATTAATTGCTATAATGAATATGTGAATATTTCAGTTCCGGTCCACCAACAGTTTTTGAATGAGTTTGCCAAGAAAGGTTGGGCACCACTCTATTACCGTGTATCTTCCTGTTTGATCCTGTCAAGGGTTGGATTTATTGTGGGTACCTTTTTTCTTTCTTCAGGTGTTTTCCTGCCTCGGTGCAATGAGGAAGGATATTACAAAGCAACCCAATGTCATGGAAGCACAGGGCAATGCTGGTGTGTTGATAAATATGGCAATGAGATAGCCGGCTCAAGAAAACAAGGGACCATTAGTTGTGGTGAGTGATAACATGCTTGCCTAATACAACGCAAAAAATAACATTGTTGTAAACCCAGTAATTGCTGTAAGACCAACCATGATAACGAAAGATGACAATGCAGGAAACATAATTAGCAGAATCCCAAATGGTCCCATGTGTTCCAGTTCACAATGTAAAAGTGTCTGTGTGGCATACACGCATCTTTATCTTGGAGTGTGTGTATGTGGGTATGAAATTGGAAATAACCACTGATAAGAAAATAGTTTTTCTACCAGTATGGAAAATGCAGTAGTTGCTATTAAAATAAAAGCTATGAGGTTGTTATGCCTGTTTATTAAATCCATTGTTCCTTATACAGTAGAAAACACATTTACAGATGCTTTATAAATCAGGGCCTCCCTGAGAGGAGAAGGTTTAACTATGCAAAGTTTTATAAATTAACAGCCAAGACCTATAAAAGTGCTGATACAACAGTATTATTACACTGACATGTACAATTACTGCACAGCTCTATAGAAGCAGGCAAACAACATGTAAGTGGAATTTCTTCCATGTGACTCAGTCAGGGCTGGCCTTACCGTGAGGCGAACTGAGGCAGCCACCTCAGGTGCCAGACTGTGGGGGGCGCCACTAGGACCCCGAGATTTGAAACCTTTCAAAGTTTTGGCCTAAGCAAGGGTGCATAGGGGAGTCATTTGAGCTCCCCCCCCTTCCCGATGCCAAAATGTTGTGGGCCGACCCTGGACTCAGTGTAACAATAGCTCCAGTTGCTCTACTTCCAGCAAGAATAGACGAGGCCAAGCTTTACTGTTCGTGATTACATCCTAAATTGCTCTTGGTCAGGGATGGGCAATAAAAAATGGCAGCTCGCAGGGTTAGTCCCTGGCAGGCTGCTGCTGCTATGTTTACCTGTACTTCTGCAGGTATCACAGGATCGCAGCTCTGGTTTGTTGCAAATCACCACTCGTGGCCAATGTAAGTGGCAGGAAGCATCGTGGACTGGGACACCACTTCCCACCACTCACATTGGGATCGAGAGCTGCTATCCTCTGATACCTGAAGAGGCACAGGTAAACATGGAGGTGGGGCCCACCAGGGACTAACCCTGCATACCGGATCCAGCCCGTAGGCTGGAATTCATCCACTCTTGCTCTAGGTGCTTCTGCAGAAGTTTGTGCACTTATATGTACATGAAATCAAGCAATTACAACATATGCATAGCATCTGAAAACCATTTGTGTGTGTGCTTACCAAAGATGTGCACACAGATTCCTATGGTTCTGCCTTTGTCCTCACCCCAGCCAAATATGCATCCAATATACGCAGATAGCATGTGTGTGCACGAGGAAGCAGATCAGTCTAATATCCCAACTGTTGGGGGGGTGTCTAATCCCAACACATATATGGGCAGCAATAGTACAGTCCCATCGCCACTGTGTGTCTGTTTGAATCGGTTGCCCTGAAAGGCTATTTCAGTCTATATGCACATTCAGTTCTTTGGTATTCTACTGAGACTGGCCACCAAGAACATAGTAGTGTTGGTTGTGGTGGATTTTGTGATGTAGGCTAGGACTGATTGGCACTTTTGACAAAAGGCATTTTTTGTAGAAAATCACGGATTCATAAGAAAAATCATGTCGAAAATTACTGATTCATGAGCCCCAAAGCTTTTGGCTGGAAAGTTCAGTTTTGCTAATTTCCTGACTCAAAAAAAAAATCTTTGAGCAGAGGAGGGAGTATTTCAATTTTCAATATTCTGCTTCAATATTTTCTAAATGACAAATTCTTGTTTTCTGATTCAAAGCAACTTTTTATTAAAAAAAAATTGGAATACAAAAATTAATGTTCAAAACTGAAACATGATGTTCTCAAATTATTGAAACAAAATGTTTCAGTTGAACCAAACCAAATGTTGAGGTGAATTTTCAGTTTGCGAAGGATGGACTTTACCTAAACCAAACTGGAACCAGATTGCTGGCACTTAACATTAAAAAGATTATAAAACAGTTTTTAAACTAAGGGCTGGGGGAAGGCCAATGGGTGTGGAAGAGCACATGGATTGGACAGAGACATCTCTTGGCAGGGGGGTGAGTCTATTAATGAAGATTTTCTATGTTCTAGTAAAGAGGAGAGGATGAAAGATGATAAAGTATGGATAAGATCAGATGAGAAACGATCAAATGAAAAAGAGTCTAACACATCAGGAAATGGGAGACAGATAAATAGTGACAATTTTATAGTACTTATACACAAATGCTAAAAGTCTAAATAATAAGGTGGGTGAACTAGCGTGCCTCATATTAAAGGAAGATATTGATATAACAAGCATCACATAAAGTTGGTGAAATGAGGACAATCAATGGAACACAGTCATACCAAGGAACAAAATATATCGGAAGGACGGAACAGGTCATGCTGGTGAGGGAGTGCTACAATACATGAAAGAAAGTGTAGAATCAATTGAAGCAAAAATCTTAAATGAACCAATATGTTCCATAGAAGATCTATGAGTAGTAATTCCATGCTCTAATAATAAGAATATAGCAGTAGGGATGTATTTCCAACCACTTCACCAGGACAGTGATAGTGACTGTGAAATGCTAAGGGATATTAGAGAGGTCATCAAAATAAAAAAATAATAGTGGGAAATTTCTATTATGACACCAACAGTTTTTGAATGAGTTTGCCAAGAAAGGTTGGGCACCACTCTATTACCGTGTATCTTCCTGTTTGATCCTGTCAAGGGTTGGATTTATTGTGGGTACCTTTTTTCTTTCTTCAGGTGTTTTCCTGCCTCGGTGCAATGAGGAAGGATATTACAAAGCAACCCAATGTCATGGAAGCACAGGGCAATGCTGGTGTGTTGATAAATATGGCAATGAGATAGCCGGCTCAAGAAAACAAGGGACCATTAGTTGTGGTGAGTGATAACATGCTTGCCTAATACAACGCAAAAAATAACATTGTTGTAAACCCAGTAATTGCTGTAAGACCAACCATGATAACGAAAGATGACAATGCAGGAAACATAATTAGCAGAATCCCAAATGGTCCCATGTGTTCCAGTTCACAATGTAAAAGTGTCTGTGTGGCATACACGCATCTTTATCTTGGAGTGTGTGTATGTGGGTATGAAATTGGAAATAACCACTGATAAGAAAATAGTTTTTCTACCAGTATGGAAAATGCAGTAGTTGCTATTAAAATAAAAGCTATGAGGTTGTTATGCCTGTTTATTAAATCCATTGTTCCTTATACAGTAGAAAACACATTTACAGATGCTTTATAAATCAGGGCCTCCCTGAGAGGAGAAGGTTTAACTATGCAAAGTTTTATAAATTAACAGCCAAGACCTATAAAAGTGCTGATACAACAGTATTATTACACTGACATGTACAATTACTGCACAGCTCTATAGAAGCAGGCAAACAACATGTAAGTGGAATTTCTTCCATGTGACTCAGAACAACCAGCAGGACCCTTGGATGATCAAGATGCCAAAGAAGCACTCAAAGATGATACGGTCATTGTGGAGAAACTAAATTAATTCTTTGCTTCGGTCTTCACATATGAGGATGTTAGGGAGATTCCCAAATCTGAGCCATTCTTTTTAAGTGACAGATGTGAGGAATTGTCCCAGATTGAGGCGTCATTAGAGGAGGTTTCGGAAACAAATTGATAAACTTAACAGTAACAAGTCACTGGGATCAGATGACATTCACCCAAGAGTTCTGAAAGAACTCAAAATGTGAAATTGCAGAACTATTAACTGTGGTTTGTAACCTATCCTTTAAAACAGCTTCTGTACCTATTAATTTCATTTGGTGACCCCCTACTTCTTATGTTGTATGTATAGTTGGGATTATTTTTTCCAATGCACATTACTTTACATTTACCAACATTAAATTTCATTTTCCATTTTGCTACCCAATCACTTAGTTTTATGAGATCTTTTTGAAGCTCTTTACAGTCTGTTTTGATCTTAACTATCTTGAGTAGTTTAGTATCATCTGCAAATTTTGCCACCTCACTGTTTACCTCTTTCTCCAGATCATTTATAAAAAGGTTGAATATCATTGGTCGTAGTATGGACCCTTGGGGGACACCACTAATTACCTCTCTCCATTTTGAAAACATACCATTTATTCCTATTCTTTGTTTCCTGTCTTTTAACCAGTGATCAATCCATGAGAGGATCTTCCCTCTTATCCCATGACAGCTAACTTTACTCAAGAGCCTTTAGTGAGGGACCTTGTCAAAGGTTTTCTGGAAATCTAAGTTCACTATATCTACTGGATCCGCCTTGTCCACATGTTTGTTGACCCCCTCAAAGAACTCTAGTAGACAGTAAGGCATGATTTCCCTTTACAGAAACCATCTTGACTTTTCCCCCAACAAATTATGGTCATCTATGTGTCCGATAATTTTATTCTTTACTATAGTTTCAACTAATTTACCCGGTACTGATATTAGACTTACTGTCTGTAATTGCCAGGATCACCTCTAGAGCCCTTTTTAAATATTGGCGTCACATTAGCTATCTTCCTCTTTAAAAATCAATTTACTACCCACAAAAATTAAGTGTAGTAATTAGAACATTAGCTGGTATTGACTAAAGTGATTTTGAAGTCTTGCCTATGAGAATGATCTTTAACTTTTACCTGTTTTAGAAGAAGAGCAAGAAACTTCAGGGGATTTCGGCAGTGGTGGATCTGTTGTATTATTGGATGATTTGGAAGAGGACCGTGAAGGAGCGAAAAAGGACAAAGAAGGGAAAATGAAGATCCATGTAAGAGCAACTAATGAGGATGATGAAGATGAAGATGACGATAAGGATGATGAAATTGGTTATATATGGTAGTTGTCACAGTTCTGAGGACTCATGTTTTGCACAATACTGCAAGTCACTTCATATCTCTGCAATTGTATCTAAGAACATCAGGCACAAAACATTCTCTCTCCACTCTGTTTAATTTTGTACAGTATATATAATTTTCAAGATGTCTTTTTTTCTGACTAGCTACTGGTTTGAATACAGTTAATTGTTTTCTCTATCAATGGGGCTATGAGTTTTGTTAGTTTGGTTTAAGCAAAGTTTCATAACTTAATTCCTGCCCGCTCTACTTGTGAAATAGTGCCCATGGGATTAAAAAAAAAGAAGAAGAGATAAAAGACAAACCAGTGCAAGAATTAGAAGCCTGTTTTATGTTATGTTAACACTGGAGAAGTTTTGTCATCACTGGTAACTGAATTTTCTGATTGTGCTATAAGTAATTGCTTTTCTTTTATACAGTAGGTAATATAGAAAAGCAGGTGTCATAATTTCTTTCCTGTGTCTGGCATTTGTCACTTGTATAGTAACTTCTGGCTTGCTAATACTGATGGTTTTAAATCAGGAAGAAATCCATCAGTATTTTTCCTCAAATGTGAGGGATCAGGTCATTGTCACTTAGTTTCTGCAGTAAACAGTATGATCTTGATCTTGAGCTACCACTGACTTCGAGTCCCACTGCAAGGGAACACAATTTAACCCCCTTCCGGAATGTTGGCATATTTTGCAAATCTAGATTGTTCTATCCATTTTCCAACTAGCAAATCTTGGGTTTCTGTTTTAATTAGTTTGCACTAATGTCATGCAAGCTGCCTCTGTTTCTGGAATAACATGCCGGTGAATCTGCTGGAAATGTCTATTCTTCTGAGTAACTTCTCATTTGTAATCTAGGAAGCTGTCAAAAATACTTACCATCAAAAGTAATAAGCTGTCTCTTCTTTATTTTACATTGTTAATATTTATTTAGTCTGTTTTAAAACAGCTTTAGATAAGTTTCCGTCTAACATTCTTTCTGCTTAATATGACATATGCCTTTCTAATGCACACCTATAAAATAGGAGAATATTATTAACATGGAATCCTATGATTCTGTAAATCTGTTCCCATTTATTCATATCTTCACAGCTGTATCACAGTGTTCTGAAACTAAATTATTTACTGCCCTTCCTTGTTGAAAGTCATTGGTACAATGAACTTAACATATCGTGCCTCTTACTCCTTTTGATATTTTATCCAGATTATCAGAAAACGAGGAGTCATGGCACTGCTCCTTTTGATATTTTATCCAGATTATCAGAAAATGAGGAGTCATGGCACTGACTACATTTGCAAGCAAGTTCATGTTTGTATTTAAGATGACAGAAGTGACCCCCTGATAGATCTTTAATTCCAAAATCTTTTAGTATCCAATGCATTATGAGATGGCAGGAATAATTCCATTTGAGTTAATGGAGTTATACCAGAAACGAATTTGGACATTGTGCATTTCAAAGAAACCCTTTATATTTGTGTTAAAGACTCTACTTTCTTGTGTGAATTAATTTGCATTTTCAAAACCAGCTGTGTGGTACAGTTTATCCCTAGACGATTTGTCAATATAAGTAGTACTTTGCCTGCTTTTCTAGCTTGCATGTTTCCTGATTCATTTTAGGGGGTGAATTATGTCATTAAAAGGTAAAGTTTAGTAAATGAAACCTACAAATATAAATACCAAATTCCACTCCATAAAGCAGGGTATTTTACCCATTGCCTTTAGGTTTCATGTCCTCGTGCCAGCAGCCTGGTTTCACTATTCTTGGGAAACTTCGGCCTAAGTCAGACATTCTTTTCAAGGTGCATCTTCCAGAGATAGCCTTGTTATTTGTATTGCCTATGAACCTGAGGGACTTTAGTAGTTATGGGGAACAGCTTTGCTTTACATGTTTCCAAATAAAGGCCTGATTCTGCAAACTCTGCAGTCTACATGAGGAGGGATTTGTAGACTCTAATCTGAAGGTATCCTACTAAAAAATTCACTGTATGTACGATCTTATTATGGAAGCCCAACAAATGGATTGCCCATGTCTTGGATTGTTTTCTGGGCACCATCACTGTACCTGTATGCTAGTAGTCAAGTACCTGTATGCTAGTAGTCAAGACTTAAAACATTTTAGCACTGTAACTTGACTCTTGAGCTAGAATTCATGTGTGCAGAAACACACAGTTTAATACACATGCTAGCTCCGGTAGCTGACTGTTTCAAGCTGCAAAGGCTGGTTTTTATTTTAAAGACTTGTTTTGAAACCTTTGCCTGCAGTTTCTTTTGAAGAAAGAAAATTATCTCGTTGCAAAAGGGAGAAATACGTTTTCTGCTTCTCTAGGCAGTGCCAGTCTGTGCGGATGATTTGAAATTACAAGGAAGGGCTTCACTGGCACACACATCCATGGAATTCAGTAGTACGCAACAAAATGGGAAAAGCCCCTTGACAATGGGAATTGTGTCCATCCAATGAGCTTCTATTTTGCTGTTTCACACACAACTTGTTATAGGGGCTTAGTTTTCTGTCCTCAGTCTCTGATTATCTGTGTCATGATGACCTGAAAACTCATAAAGAGGAGTGAGTGAGTGATTAGTGTTCATAGCAAAGGTAGCTACTGAAGTATGGTTTGCTCTTTGAGGTTGTTTTAGGGGGGTGTTCTTTTTTTTTGGCGGAAAAACAGTTGGCAGCAAAGGCAATTGGTGGAACCCTATGGTCCACTGGGATTCAGTGATTACTTTTTAGGGCCAGATTCAGCCTTTCGAGTCAGCCCTGAGTATGGAGCAGCATGTAGCCTCCAAGCCCCAGTTCGGAGGCCCTGTTCCTCCGAAGTTCCCTGTGTGGGACAGAGCGTGTGCTGCATAAATATCCCTTTTGCATTTGGCTCCACTCATGGGTGCATGGTGGTGGGGGAGAGAGTGGAACCACGATTCTGCCGGCTTCTTCCCCTTCTTCAGCACTTTTCCAATTCCTCCCTTTCCCTCCCCACCCCACCCCACTCCCGATCACTTGCTCCCAGGCGGGAGAGCTACTTTTGCTGCCTTGTGCTCTGGCAATGAGACCAAGATCCATACATGTCCTGTGAGGCTCCACAGAGAGTGGAATGAGGGGGGCCTTTCTCCCTCTTACACCTCTCTGGGTATGTCTACACTGTACACTAGGCCCAGGGCCTGACTTGGCTTGGAGCCCAAGGGCACCATCTGTCCATACATCCATGACTCTGACTCAGGCCAGCAAACACTCAGGACTGGGTGCTAGAGCCCTACTTGGGGGGAGGGGGTGTAAGGTCAGAACCTGAGTTCCACTGTGACTCAGTGCAACCCATCATTTTGCAGTGTGGACAGAGCTCAAGCCACAGACACTAAGTACGGGTGCAGTTAACACAGCTGTGAGTCCTGTGTCCAGAAGTTGTGCATCCAGTTTTACAACACACCAGGACAACTGGTAAGGGGAAGCCGGGGATGGGCACTGGCCACATGACACCCCCAGCCCGGGGAAGGGCTGAGACAACTGGCTGGTATGAATCAGCTGCAAATCCATTGATTTTACTGGGGTGAGATGGTGGCAAACTGCTGTGCAAAAAACATCCCTGGAGTGCTCCAGACCAACGTAGTGACTTGGAGCAGCCTTGGGGAGCTGGGCTTTGACTCCTTTTATTTTGCTTCCCTCTCTTGAAAAAAATCACTTTTTATCAATTACAGACCTTGGAAAGATTTCTTTTCTCCGAGCCTTTGATGAAAAGGGGGCTGATCTGCAAAAGGAACAAACACACCTTGTGGCTCTACGTCACTAGGTTGTTGCTTGTCATGACCCTAGAGCACCGTCAATATCTTGCATCTCACACCTCGGGGATGGCTTCTTCCGGGGTGGATTTGAATCAGATGAAATCCCGGGTTTCGCCTTTCCCGAGCTCACAGCGTTGCCGTTCACTCACTCCAGGCCCCACCATCAAAGTAGAAGGGGATCCCACTATGCCATGAAATCAAGGGAGATATCCACAATCATGAAAAACTAGATCACAGAAGCTGGCACCCTCCTAACATTGTTAGTGCGAAACTCATGCTGGTACAGATGGCTCCTACATGGTGCTGTGCACCTCGTAACGCCCGGAGAGCCAAATCTTCTGCTCCTTTGACAGCCGGTATAATCAGGCACCGCTCAGGAGAAGCGCGGGTGGGTAGGGAAGTTGCCAGTAGTGGCTGCTGCCTCGCCGTTCCATTTGCAGAGGGTGCCAGTTATTGGACCCACAGACATACAGATCCTATTGCATCCTCTTTCATTCCCTGCATGTTTTAAACATTTCCTGAAATAAATGCGACCTGCTTTCCCACCTGCTTAAACAGCCCCTCTGCCAGCAGGTCTTCAGCCGCGTTAGGGCTTCTCCTGCCGCCTCCTCACATTCCAGGGGAGACTGGCTGCATTTATTTTCAGCAAGTGTCAAGTCATCAGCATAGAAGTGAAAGCATCACAGTCCAGGACCTCCGCCCAGTCCCATCAGAGTCAGTGGAGTGGTGCATGTTCATTTGAAGGCAGAATGTGGCCTTGGACAGCTTCTGCTGTTGCTCCCTGGGAGACACTCACCTAGGGGTTGAAGGGCTTGTGCAAAGCTCTTTGCCCCAGTTCAGAGCACAGGCCCTGTACTAGAAATCACCTAAGTGCGTGCTTAACTTGAAACACATGCCTGCCTACTTCCCTGAACGGAGGTCATAACTGGAGAAGAGTAACATGGTTAACTAGCCTCAGACAGGTCGCCTTGTTAGTCTGAATCTGCAAAACCAACTAGGAGACCTGTGGCACCGTAAGGACTAACTCCACTCTAGGCATCTGACAAAGTGGTTTTTACCCGCCGAAGTTGATGCCCAGATACATCTGCTTGCCTTTAAGGTGCCATAGAACTGCTCGTGCTGTTGGTCATTATCTAGTTCAGTAGAGCAGAATCACAATGCATCATGTTAAAAAAACATACAACATGTATGAAAGAATAATGCCCCGTATTTTGGTGAGAATTTGTGTAAGGCAGAGCCGCATGCCTTGAGAGAAACAGCTGAGATTATCTCTGGATCTGGGGGCAAATTCCTAGCTGGTAAAACTCCTTTGAAGTGAATGGAGCTACTACAGTTTTTACCAGCTAGCGCCACGTAAATCAACTTGCTCACTGGAATATTATAATTTTGCCAAGCACACTTTCCCACGGAGTACACTGATTTTTCATTTTGTGTTATCTTATTACTGCAATTGTTAGATTAAAACA